ATAGTTGTTAGCAATGTTCTGTTCGATTATTTATCTCAGTTCGAAATAAAGATTCACACTAAATGATGTGATTGAGGACAAAACATAACAAATGAATGGTTGTTAGGAATGTGGTGTTCGATTATCTATCTCAGTTCGAAATAAAGATTCACACTAAATGATCGGATGGAAGACAAAACATAACAAATGAATAGTTGTTATAAATGTGCTGTTCGATTATCTATCTCACTTCGAAATGAAGATTCACAGTAAATGATGTGATGGAAGACAAAACATGGCAAATGAATAGTTGTTAGAAATGTTCTGTTCGATTATATATCTTACTTCGAAATAAAGATTCACACTAAAAGGTGTGCTGGGTGACAGAACATAACAAATAAACAATTCTTAAAAGTGTGCTGTGCGACTATATGGGTAAGGTAGGCTGAAATAATTGCAGCGTAGTTTATCGCAGAGCAGAATGTAAGATAGGATTATATTGTCAATTGTGGTGTTCGAATATTACGAGAATGAGAAAGAGTCTTGAATTAGGGACGTAGTATATAGTACGGTCGAAATTAGTCCTAGACTGAGATCAATATCACTCTTTCCGGTGGTGGGTGGGCCTTATCTACGCATCGTGAAGAAACTTGTAGACACACATCCGGACCCTCACGAAATTTGGCTGTTGACACTTGTGTTTGAAGTAGGTTCACCAAAAGGACGACATAGAGTTGATGATAATGTTTTAAGTGTTGGAGCATTTTGACGCTTAAAGATAAGAACTTCACTTTTTTCAAGAATTATTAGGTGTACCGCGATATATTGATTGAATTAAGTGTTGGATGAAGAATCTGGTTTGTGAATTAATTTTGCTGGATGGAAACAGCGATCTGATGAGCTGTTTGAAATCATAGGTGTTGTTTTATCAAGTGTAATTAAGGAAGTTGTAGATACTTACATATTAGTAGTGCCAGTACTAACATTTGTTGATGTACTATTTGATACTTTCTCTGTAGAATTCAGTTGCTTTGTCTGTATCATTTGGTACTACATGTAAATGTCTCAATGAAGAATAAAGTATGGGTAGACATGAAATGATGATTTTGAGGGATCCAGGTGACGTTAATATGTTCACCTATAATAAAAGTAAGTATTAAAATTAGAACTATGGTCACTGTGAAAGCCGCGTTGGTGGTAACCAAAATATATAAAAGAAATTCGGTAAAAGAAGAGAGTGTTTTAGTATAGGTATTCTAACCTAATGAAAATGTGATTAGAACAACTTAGTTCATAGTTAATTATCTGGCTAACGTCATTGAATTTTTTTTTAATGTTCACTTACCAAGAAACTGTATTTCTCCTTGAGTCCACTACTGGCATTATATTTAACGATACAATTATTAATTAATAACTATCGACGTGAAATGAATTTGTTTATAGTTGGTCAATTTTCTTCTCTTAAGGCTTCCCCCCCCCCCCCCCCTCCGAAACCGATTTTCCATACGGTGCATGGAATCTTCACGAAACTTTTTACAGATACTCGACCTATGGAGGTACAATTATAAAAAGAATTTCAATGGTCTAGCCCTTTCCGTTCAGGAGATACACAGGTATCAAGGGGCAAGATAGGGGTCCCACGCGTACAAGGATTTCTTCAATATACTTCGAGATAGAGCGCTCGGGCTAGTCTCATTTGAAAGAGAACTTCTTGGTGCTTCGGATGACGGAAAGGATTTTTTAATTTTAACTTTTTTTCTTTGGTGGGATCTACAAAACTTTGAAGTTCTAAAAACCCTATGTAGGATTTTTTAGAAAATACCTGATTACTCATAGATTGAGTGTCAAATAAAAAATTCCTTCTCGTCATCTGAAGAAGGACATATCTATCTATCAAATAAAAAAAACCGCAGTTTGATAGAGTGAACTATAGTGGAGAAAAATCTGTTCAGAGATTGATATTTTCAAAAAACTCGATTTTGAGGAAAACGAGTTTTTTTTTATCTATATAAGCAATAATGGCTTCAACTAACTCAAGTTTTTTTACAGAATTTCCCTAAAAAAGTTAGAGATTTAATAAAATCTTTACGGATTTATAAAGTAGACTACTCAGGCATCATGCCCATGTGTTTATCTCAAAATCCATTTTTTTGACGAAAACCAACTTTTCGGAGGGGGGGGAGAAGCCTTAATTCATCAATAACTTGATCAAACAATTCCAAAAATATGGATAATTCGTCTAAAAACCACTTATTAATAGCAACTAAATTATTCGTAAAATTTTTATAGCACCAGGAATTCATCGTAAACATCAAAAAATATATCTAACATAGAAAATCCACAATTGAAACGGGTACCCGAGTATGTTTGTAATTTTGTTTTTGAGTTTTGTTTGTCGATGTGATCGACGTACATGTATAACAATTCGTTTTATATTTTGAGAGAGACTTTGTGCTGTGTGGCAGTTGACAGGTTTTTTTATCAATTTCATTTGATTTAAACGAATGTAACATCCTACATGACTACAATTTTGTTTAAATGCCGCTCGCATTTTGTTTCCATTGTCTGTGACAATAAACTTTGCACTATCTAACGACAACCCATAAGTTAATAATTGTAAATCAACAAATGGGCGAATCATTACCAACTGATTGAGATTCCATAGCATATAAAAACCGTTCTAGAATGAAATTCAGTGTTTTAAAACCTTCTGTAACATGTCGTAGTGCCCAACCACGATACGAAAGTCCTAAAGCATAAATAAGAAATTAACATCAATTAAAACAAAATAAGTTACGTATTTTAATACAGAACACTAGAAAGCTCTTTTAGAAGTCACAACCGAGAACAAGTCCAGAAATCATCTGTTTTCTTGTTTTGTTTCTTTTACGTGTTCGTGTAGATGTTTTGGAGAAGCACAGAACTCATATAAAAATCTCGTTGAAAATCCTGATTTCAATTAAATAAAACATTTGTTAGAAATTCGAGAAAACGCATGTTTATAACTACAAATGTCAATATTGACGATTGTGTAGCATATTCAATCAACTTTAATGTTTAGAAGAATTTTTAATCTGTTATAAGACATTCAGTAAACAACAAAGGATGATTAACCAAAAAAAACATTAGAATTGAAGTTTGTACTAAAACTGTGCCTTATATATTCTGAATCTCATTGATATAGAATTAAAAAAACGCCGTCTTAAATGATTTCCTACGAAATAATCGATCTTAGTGGAATCCTTTATATTCTTTGTCGTGTAGTGTTTAAATAGTAACTCACTAGTAAATCTTTCCGTCAGGAAGTCGCATGTTATGCAATAGTTAGACATATTTAAACACAAGTAATGCTTATCCTACGGATTCACGGGCTCTTTTCTGTGATTATCATTAAAAATAATTTTGATTTTGGTTGTATGCTAAGAAAGGGAATCTAGCCAAGTTTTACTCATCATAAAATCTTTAGCGAAGATACTTAATTTTTTATATGAGGAATAAACGATCAGTCGCAGCCGTATGTCTAATTTTTTGGAAACTGATCTAATTCAAAAAGTTTAAGGAGTTGCGATGTCGCATATTTGAAAATTCTTTCACTTTAAAAATATTCTAGGCAAAGCAAGCTAAATATTCCTGAATACTCAGAAAAATTGATTCTATGAAAAAAAATTGATCGCCTCCCCAAAGTGTATACCCTAAATTGGTTCGCT